CAGGCAGCCTGGCAAAGTTGTTTTACCACAGAAGCCCTTTGGCTTGCACCAAAATGCTACCATAATTAATTTAGTTATCTAAGGTCAAAACCTGAGATACCTAAGGCTTTCTGTGGTATCTGTGCTACTATGGCTTCTTGTGTTCAGCCACAGAATTTGGACAAATCATCTCTTACCTGCAACCTTCTCTTTACGTTCTCATTGCACTGTGCTCCTCTGAATCCCCATTTTCTCTTCTAAACTGCTGCAGAAATGTCCCAGCTGCATTGTTTCCCTCCATTCACCTTCTCCTGTAGCCCAGCAGGAATTCCCGAAGAAGTTTCCTGATCATGCAGTTCCACACAGATAGATAGAGAGATTATAGATGGATATAGTTTAAAAACCATTAGACGGAGTCATTTAGGATCATCCAACATTTGGAAGCCCCAGACTATTTTCCAACCTTATCACTGTGACCTTCCTTTTTCCCAAATAAATTAAAGTACTTATCCTTCCTGAACAAGTCCTGAATTTTCTATATTTGCAAACTATCTCTGATCCATGCACGGTGCCAAGTTTCAAAATCGTATCCATGCCTGATCCAACTCAATGTCAATTAGTCTCCAAGGCAATGTGGTTCCGCGAAAAGACAAACAATGAACATGGGCTTACAGTCTTTCCCAACACTTCCTCCCCAGCCTCCAGCACACTCATGTTCACATGGAAATTTCACCCTTCTTTATTCTCCTGTGCTGCTTTGCTTATGTTAATTTAGAGGAAGTATCGCATTTGGCCTTACATTGTAGTTATATTTTCTTTATTTTCCTACTAGGCTTTTAAATCCTTGAAGACACAAAACATCTTATTCATCTTTGATTCGTGCCATGAAGTATAAAAACAAGTATCCTTAAATTAACTGAACATGTGAACATTCACACTGTCACATACAACAAAGTTCCGTGGCCGCGCCTCTGTGAAGTCTAAGTTATTTACCACTGAAAACTCTGCAGTTGGATGGGAGAGATCACGAAAGTATTTTTAGGCTCCAAGATATAAATTTGGGAAGAGAAGGTCTCTCAAAAGTGAATGTGACCTCTTCTCTTTTTTCCCTGGGAGCAATAATAAGGACCCTGTCTGTATTCGTGTGACATCGTTTCCTTTTCTATCTGATCCCTGGACCACCAGCATTTATAAGCTGAAGTTATTGCTGCCCAGTAGAACTCCAGACAGCAAAGGACTACGCTGATGTCAGTCCTGTGCCCCCATCACCAGTCCCTAAAGAGCTCTGGTCATGGCAACAGCACCTGTCTCTCCCTCCCACACTAGTCCAGGTCACAGAGAATCCTGAGTGGCTCGGTGAGTGGACTGCAGCTGACCACATGGAAGAACAGGGTTCGTGCCTGGGAGCTGGGAACTAGAACTTTACAGACTCTGCTCCAATGCAGAAAACTTTGAAACAATCATCTGATTACCGCAGAGCTGCTTTCCTTGTAAGAATGTCCTTAGCTAGTGAGAAAAACTCACTTATCGCTTACATTTCTAGCTCATTTCTAGCTTCCTTTGGAAATTTTCTTTAAGAAATTCACTAATTTTTTTTTTACTTTTTAAAATATGGGCAATGGAAAACATTTCCAAAAGAGACAGCACTAAATATTATATGTGTGATATTTTGCTTCTCATCACTGCTTCTTCTCCGCCCTTTGTTGTTTCTGGTAAAGCAAGAAGTCAGGGGAGCTGTCAGAAGAGAAGAGGGTGTGATTGAAATTAGCCACACAACTGGATACCACGCACAGCTGGCCTGCCTCACTTATAATGGCAATTACTTTGAGTTCTACCAACTCCTTGGGGTCTGAGCAAAGGGACATATGAAGGAAGTTCAGAAAAGAGCAACAAAATTACAAAGGAGCTGCGAGGTTGATTTACAAGGCACACTATGAGGGCTAAGTCCATGTGGCTTGGCTAAACAGTGACCGCCAAAGACACGATGAACAGAGTCTACCAGTCTGCAGAAAATGTAGTTGCTGGGGAAAGGAGAGGAGGTGAGAACATCATAGTCACTGCTCCTATCTTTTCCATTATTAAATACGGGGGACTCGGTGCTCTGACTTCCATTGTCTGCTATAGAAGTAAATGCTATTGTTTCTAAAATGTTCTAGAATGATGAGAAAGAGCACAACAGCAACAGAAAGTTAACGTTTTACCTTTATGAAATGGGGGAAGAGGCCCAGATGTGTCTGGGGTAGGAGTATTGATTGAGAAGCAACATGGACATAAACTGATGGTCTACCTGAGAGAGGAAAGGCAGAAACGAGTCCTGCATGTCACACTAGGGAAGAGAGGAAAAGCGAAGGGGAAATGAAAGGACCAGGGTGCTGCAGATCATAACCCCCAGAGCTCCTCTGCGGGCTGGGCTCCGAGCCCAGCAGTCTAACAAGTTGCCCCAAGACTCCACTGCCCACGGTCCATGAAGACAGGAAAAGATTGCTGGCATTGCTGGCCCGCATTCTGTCCTTCAGCCTCAAGGGGCAGGAAAGATGACAAGGGAGAGAAGGGCACAGCAGGAGCAGATGGGCCACGGCTAGGAGGACCGATTTAGCTCTCCTGCCGGGGAGGACAGGTGCCTCCCATCCTTTCTAGTTCCATCTTACGCAGGGCGGTGAGGGACAAGCAGCAAAACTCAAAGTGCAGCGTGCAGCACCTCAGAAGGTCCAGGAACAGCTGACCGCTTGCCTTCCTCTGAAGTGAGTGCCGCCCATGTCCCCGCAACGATGGTATCTCCGTCCTCCAGAGGCTGCCAAGCGGGAGAGGTGGGTCCCTGGTCACCGAGTGATGGCAGAGACAAGCCAGGACGAGCGACGCCTGCACAGGACCTGCACATCCACCCCAGCCCAGAAGGTTCTGGATGCATCCCGGGAGCGGGGAAGCTAACGTGACATGTTGATCTTTGCAAGGGCTTCATGTTCCACTTAAATCGTTTTAACTGGAGGGCACGATCTCGGAGCACCTGTAACGGGTCCATATGGGTGCATTCATCCTGGGAAACTGGGCCAGCACCCTTTGCCCCTCGGTTAGCTGCAGTGCTAGCTGATGCCTACCTAGATTTCCGGAAAGCCATCTTCTGTTTCCGGGAACACTGCAATGCTATCTACGGAGAGCCACCACTGGGTGTGGGTTGAGCGTATCTTTGTCACATATCCACGGTGGTTGTTGCAGCCAGATGGCGACTTCCCTGGACCAGGTGGCCCCTGAAGCCCAGCAGCGTGAAGAGTGAACGGATGTCCCAGGCCAACACGCAAACTGACGGCCCGTGTCTATTACAGCTGCAATGACAACTCAGTCTCACTCACCACGAAGAAAGCAGAACTCCTACAAGCGCCTCGTAGCTGTTGCAAGCTGCCCAGAACGGTGCTGAAGGATTCGGGGTGACTTCGCCATCTGGGGGTGTTCAGAGGCGAGCCGGGTCCTTTCCCCAGGCCGCCCTTGGTTCCTTTTGGGCTGGAGAGACCGTGTAGAGGCAATCTGTGTCTTTTTCAAGTCCCGAGTTGCGTCGCAGGCCCTTATGTTTCTTATGATGTGCCTTCCCGAGGCCGCTGTGCTCCGAGGAGCTGGGCACGGGTTTCCCCGGGGTCGTGGGAGCGGACGCAGCAGGAGAGGCACCTGATTCACCTCCGCTTCCTTCCCTCTTCCGAGGCCCCCAGGTTCCCGGCCCCCTCCACGCGCCGCTCCCATCTGCCTGCTACAGAGCTTCACGGCCTCCTCTGCCCACAGCTCTTTCTCCTTTTATCCGTATTTTATTCCGTTTTACTTTGGTTCCTACCGAACCTGTGCAACTTGGGGCTCCAGACCCCGGGAAACTGGGGACGGTGAGAATGGAAGTAACTGGGCCCCTTGGCCAGTTGCA